AATTTTTTGATCATTTCGAAAAGGAAAAGGGTAATTCATTTATAAAAATATGTATACATGTATAATATAAGAATCAAGAATAATGTTGAAATGAATGAATAGGGATAAATTTTATTTCGTAAAGGAAAAAAATTTAATAATTTAAATGCGTTTAACAAAAACTATGTTTTGAATTATCAAATTTATTATTATCTCGAATTAGAATAAGAATGTTATTATAATATATCTCCTTTAATGTCAAATAATATTTACTTAAAATATTTTCAGTTTCAGGAAATAGGTAAAGTGTATGACCTGTTTTAAACATCTTGTAAATCTATCGCAGATATTATATACTATATCCATCATGAAATAATTTCAAAGTATATCTCATAATAATTATTTGAAAATGAATATCTAAATTTGATACTACTTCAAAATATATGCTGTATTCAAAGCAATGTTGTGTTTTCTTTAAACAAATGTTTTCTTTAAACAAATTAGGATAAATACGAAATAAGTACTAAATATTCAAAGTATTTATACAAAATATTCTTTCTTATCTCTAAAATATAACTCACTCTTGAGACGTTTTTTTTTTCTAAGAAAAATATCAAATGTCAAAAGATCTTGGTAAGAAATTATTATTTTTTGATACGATATCCACCAATTTTGCATACAAATTCGTGCTATTGATTTTTTGACATAATGCAAATGCACTATGTAAATTTTTATAATAATATATAATATTATATATAATATAGTTTTATCGTTTAAAATTATTTCAGTTGTAGGAATTAATGGATTTGGAAGAATAGGGAGAATGTGTTTACGTGCTTGTATCGAAAAGGATATTACGGTAACGATATTACAATTATTGTATACTCGCGTGGAAAATTTTTTCTATCCAAAGAAGGGATCCACAAAATAACTATATTTTCCATTAGGTCAAGTTGGTTAATGATCCATATATTTCGACCGACTATATGATATATCTGTTCAAATTTGACTCGACTCATGGAGCGTATCCTTTGAAATTAGAATGTGAAAATGGGCATATTATTATCGGAGGTATTTATTTTTTAAGATAGATTATAAATTTTTAAATTTTCAAAATTGACAATCCTTTTTCTTTTCTTTTTTTTTTTCACAAAGAGAACAAAATAGCCACATCCCAGGAAAAGAATCCATGTAAAATAAATTGGAAAGGTGCGGGTGTGACATACGTAATCGAATCCACTGGTCTTTTTACTACGTTAGAAAAAGCAAGCGTAAATCTATTTTAATTTCTAGAAATAATCCTGAGAAATAATATTAGAAATAGAAAAAGTCGTGATTTATTTTAGTTACATATGGATGGCGGTGGGAAGAGAGTGATTATTACAGCGCCTTCTATAGACGCGCCGATGATAGTTTATGGGGTGAATCATACTTGTTACGATCCGAAAAGGGGTAAAATAGTATCGGCTGCGTCTTGCACGACAAATTGTGCAGCGCCGATCATTCGATTAATGCACGATAAATTCGATGTTATTGAAGTAATGATTAGTAGTGTGCACGCTTTAACGTCGATGCAACGAACATTAGACGGACCTTTAGAAAGAGGGAAAGTAATTATAAAAAAAATATTTTATAATTCACTCTTTCTTAACTAATTTTTAATAGTTGTTATTTTTTTTTACGGTTATTATTATTCTACATCATATAATAAAATATGGATGATTTAATTTATATATTAATTTAAATATATTATTATATTTTTATTGTAGTTGTGGAGAGATGGTAGAGGCGCTCTTCAAAATATCATACCAACATCTTCAGGAGCTGCTAAATCATTGGATAAAATTATCCCTGAACTTAAAGGCAAAATATCTGCAATAGCTTTTAGAGTACCAATCCCAAATGTTTCTTTATGCGATATGACTTTTAGGTAATGTTTTCATAAATTATAAAATGTGTAAGTAATTTTCTGACACTGTTTAATAATACTTTAGGGTTAATAAACCGACAACGTATGAAGAGATAAAAGAAGCAATGAAAACAGCATCAGAAAACGATTTGAAAGGTATATTGGGTTATACAGATGATGATTGTGTATCATCCGATTTCAATAGGACAACTTATTCGTGTATCTTCGATGCTAAAGCTGGCATTCCTCAGACAAGTACATTTATCAAAGTTATTGCGTGGTAATTTTTGAATAATTTTTGAATGTATAAACAAATATATAAATCAAATAAATATCTCGCTTTGTTTGTTAATTAATGAAGATAAATGTTTATAGGTATGATAATGAATATGGTTATGCGCATCGTGTAATGGATTTAATATTATACATGTACCAAGTTGATTCTGGTAATATACCAGTACCTGCAGAAGAAATAGAAGAAACTGAAGATTAATTATTTTGTTCAGTACTAAGGATATATTATAAGACTACATTTTATGTAAACTAATATGTCTATTCTATCTATGTTTTCAATTACATAATTTAAAGATCATTTATTATATTAAAATTTCATTTATTTCATTTTGTTTTATGTATGTATATGTACTTTTTCCCTTAAAAGAGTAAAAGTTTGATTTAAATAAAATTATTGAATAAATAATATTTGTATATTGTACAGAAATATAATAAATAATCAACTTTATAATTTATTTCTTAAACAAAAAAATTTTGCAGTATTATTATAGTAATATAATATTTGAATATTTAAATTTGGCGGCGTTTGAATACGTCGATAAGTTTAATCACGTGACCCGAACATAACCGATGGTATACGAAATTAAAGAAACAGTTACGTTACAGCGCATACGCCTAAAATTGCTGTCGGTTATATTACCGGTTTCTGCCCTTCAAATGACACACTGCTTCTGCACAGACCCGAGCGAATAGACGTAAGTTATGTTTTTTTTTATTTTAATTTTAATTCATCATTCTATTAATTAATTCTTTTCATCATTTCATGATATTATTTTATGATACATGGCATGTAATAAATGATAATCGACCATTTGATATTTAATATCAAATAATATCCAATATAAAATAATTCAAAATTAGGCTTCTATTTAGAATTACGTAGCATGTATTATGTACATTTTTCACCGGTTGATATGACGTCATTCGATATAAATCCTACAATAATTTTTTTATTTAAGAATCATCATTTTGAATATATCTGAATTTATGTTTGAAAACAATTATAATTTTCAGTTGTTATTTGTTTTATCTTTAAGTTAATTTTTTTAATTACTATGAATTAATCAAATATTAATTATAATATTAATTATACAATATTGATTATTTAGAAATAAAAATAATCAATTTTAGTGTTTGATCAATTTAGGATTTTATTAAATATAAAATAATTTCTAGGAAAATTTGACTTTTGTAAGTTTCAAATATCATTAAATCATTATAATTAATTTTTCTCAATAATGGATTTTAAAATAAATTATAATTTTTTTATTTTCCAAAATAAAAATATATTTTCAAAAATATAAATATTTTAATATTTTTATCTATTAAATATGTTTTCCAAAAATTCAGAATAATTTATTAAGTTCTGTTAACTTCATTATTATGTATATATGTATATATATATATATATATTCATTCAATCATTATATCATTTTTATATAACCATTTATTCGTTATATGTTTATAATATAATCCAAATTATAAACAAATTTTAAATCAAAAAAATAATATCGTAAGTAATATGATGAATATTTATGAATATTAATGACTTAATATATATTGTATCATTTGTTTATAACTTCAATATACTTTTAAATCGTAAAATATAAAAAATATGTATTTTTTTATATATATTATTATAAAAATATGTGTGAAAGATCACGTTTGTCTTCAAGTAAAAGTTGAATGAGAAGCATTGAGATCTTTGACCTTGAGTGACCTTTATTATTAAATGAAATTTAATAATACAAATATCTGAAATGCAATATTATTTTAATTTATAGTAAATTTTTTAATGTAATAAAGAAAATGTATAAAAATTATTTTTAATATTAAAAACAAGAATATGATGAACAAAACTCTTTTTTAATATATCTATGTTCACAAATTATATTATCCATATTTTTTTACTTCAATAACAATATTTACAACAAAACACAATTGAATTTACAAATGAATTAGTATAGATATATCATAGATTTTGAATTATTTCAATTATGTTATATAGAAATTATATATATATACATATATAATAAATATTTTCATTTACTTAATATATCTTCCTATTTAAGGAGATAAAAAATAATATTACAAATCGAAATATAATATCATCAAATCAATATCATCATCAATATCATCATTAATTAATATCATAAATTAAAAAAATTATTTTGAGGTTATGACGTTTACATTGAAATTACTTTCATTTACATCGATAACAAAAAAATTTACGAATATATTTTATGAAAACCAACGAATATTTAATGTATCGAAAATATGTTATCAAAAATTAAATCGTTCATTTTCTAGTTGCGACGACATGAGTAAAATCGGTATCAACGGTTTTGGCCGTATTGGTCGTCTTGTATTTAGGGCTTCCATTGAGTTTGGTGCTCAGGTATTAAATAATTTATTGATATATTAATATATTTATATAAAATATATTTCATATATTTTTATATTCAGTTTTTATCATTCAGAAATTATTATAATTTTTTTAATAGGTTGTTGCCATTAATGATCCCTTTATTGGTTTGGAATATATGGCATATATGTTAAAATATGATTCTACACATGGAAAATTCAAAGGAGATGTCAAAATTGAAAATGATCAATTAGTTGTTAATGGTAATAAAATTGCTGTATTTAGTGAACGCGAGGCAAAAAATATTCCATGGACAAAAGCTGGAGCTGAATATATTGTGGAATCCACTGGTGTTTATACTACCAAGGAAAAAGCTTCTGTATGTATTCATACATATTAAAAATATATAATCTAAAATATATATACATATAAATATATATATATTATTTAATTATTTAAATTTTTCAGGGTCATTTACAGGCTGGTGCAAAAAAAGTTGTTATTACTGCACCATCAGCTGATGCACCTATGTTTGTTTGTGGTGTTAATTTGGATGCTTATGATCCAAGTTATACTATTGTTTCCAATGCTTCTTGTACTACCAATTGTTTAGCCCCTCTTGCTAAAGTTATTCATGATAATTTTGAAATCGTTGAAGGTCTTATGACTACTGTTCATGCTGTCACTGCTACACAAAAAGTTGTTGATGCACCTTCTGCAAAAGTATGTCATTTTTTCTGATGATGTTTTGTTTCTGATTTTTCTATATCATAATATTTTTATTTATTTTTATTATTTTACAGTTATGGCGAGATGGTCGTGGTGCTTGTCAAAATATTATTCCTGCTGCAACTGGAGCAGCTAAAGCTGTTGGCAAAGTTATTCCAGCTCTTGATGGAAAATTGACTGGTATGGCCTTCCGTGTACCAGTACATAATGTATCAGTTGTTGACTTAACAGTCAGACTTGGCAAAGGTGCAGACTATAAAACTATAAAAGCTAAAGTAAAGGAAGCCTCTGAAGGACCATTGAAAGGAATTTTAGGATATACGGAAGATGAAGTAGTTTCTTCCGATTTTATTGGTGATGACCATGCCAGTATTTTTGATGCTAAAGCTGGTATAGCTTTAAACAATAATTTTGTTAAGTTAATTTCATGGTATGATAATGAATATGGTTATTCATGTCGTGTAATTGATTTAATTAAGTACATGCAGTCAAAAGAGAAGTAAATTATTTTGCATATTTATATGTAACACATTTTCATGTTTCTATGAGCATATCGTTGTTGCATGTATATTTCAAACTAAATAACGTTATGTTTAATCAATAGATTCCAATCACAAATTAAAATGTGAAATAAGAGTATTTTTAGCAGATTTTTTTTTGCATATAAAATAGTTATAACTAATATTATATAGATATCAATCGGAAGAAGTACAAAAAAAAACAGTTTTTAAAGTTTATTATTTAACTTGAATTTTCGCTCATAATTTTTAAATAAATTCGTAAACATATATAAAAAATATTAATGCAAATATATATAATTTACATAGTTACATATACAATATGCAAAAATTATTCTGGTATCATATATTATCTAAAAAAATAATTAATTAAAAAAGTAATACAATTAAGTAATTAATAAAAATATATTAATTACGATTAATTAGAATTATTAAAAAAATAATGTATGTTACATTTAATTATTCTTAATCATTTATTCATTTATCCACATTTATAATTAAGAATTTAAAATATTTCCGATTTATTTCTGTAATATTATTTGTCATTCAACTTATTGATATCAATAAAAATTGTTATGAAACTAAGAGAGTGCTTTATTTAATTTTTCAAACATTTCTTTATCTTCAACTATATATTGGTACATTTTTACAAGATTACAATGAATAATAGGAATGGAATAAATCAACAGTTAATTTCATATACTTTCTGTACAATTTTTGTACATTTACAAAAAAAGATTTTTTTATATAATTATTAATTGGAATATTTTTAAATAATTCTAACAAAAGTTTTTAACCATCAAAGAAATGGTAATAATATTAATTACAATGTTATTAAAGTTTTATATCGTATGGCACAAAAAATAATTCAACATTTCTTAATAGTATTAAATTAATTTTTATAATGATATCGAATAATTTCAAGAACATTGTCTTTATATACAAATAAAATCGTATGGACTTATGAAAACAATAATAATTTGATGTAATATTTTGTATTACAATTAAAAATACAATTGAATAATCTATATAGAATAGAGAAAATAGAACGTACAAATTGATTAAAAGTATTAACGGTTTTTTTTAAAGTATATTTATTCTTTGAATGTTCTGTTCCTGCAGATTTCATTTTCTCTCATTCCTTGTTTTAATCCTATTTGCTATGTACAATTATCATCATCACGAAATGAAATATATTGTAACATTTTAGGAATACCAATCCGTTATGTCATGCTGTGAAAAATTTGGTTGTACAGCGATACGAAAATACAATTTTATTTTGTTGCCATAAACAATAAGCATTCATCACTCGCTTTTATACTATGTTTTTCATAGTTTTGTAGTATACAGTAACCATCTTTCGCTTTCGCGCGCGCGCTCTCTCTCTCTTTTTCTCTTATACTTTCCTCTTTTTGATGCAATTTTTCTATTCAACTTTAAAAATTCTTTAATATATATAAAGTATTATTTCTCAGCAATTTAGCATAATCTTATGCATAAAAAATATAAGTTTTTAAAATTATTTGAACGTTAAAATGCTGTGTAACATTTGAATACTAGAGAGTGGCAGATGTTACTACAATATTTGTATCCACATTTCTAATAATGCACACTGGAATTATCTGTGAAAGAGAATAAAATGTGAATAGCGTAACCGTAAAGAACTTTTGTTAACAATATTTTTTTAATATTTCTGCTAACAATTAAAACATCTATTTTTTCCTATGAATTAAAATATTTATAAATATATTAGCAAATCACATATCTCTAAAACATTAAAAATATACAAAAGGACATTAGAAATCTAATTAATTTTTTAAACAATAACCGACAATGGAAATAGATTGAATAGTTAATTACGTAATTAGATAATTTTTATTAATATTTGTTTTGAAATATTAATTTTAGGTTACGCTAACTGTTATGAAACTTTGCAAAAAGAAATATTCTAGACTAGCATGACACATGAGATATTCGATTTTACAACAAATTTAGGAAAAATCGATAATTCACAGTTTGGAGTCTTTAAAGATAATAACAAATTACATCATGTTAAAAGTAAAAGTTTTGCACGAAGATTTATACGTTCTTGAAGTGCGCTAGCTAATTCTCGTGTTAATTCTTCACAAACTAATCGCAATTCGGCGTTTTTTTCTCTTAATTCTTGTAATGTTAATTTTTTTGATTCTTCCACTTCATCCTTGGGAGCTTCTTCATCTCCACCTTCTCGCTCTATAAAAAAAAAGAAAAAAAAAAAAAAAAAAAAAAAAAAAAAAAAAAAAAAAAAAA